GGGGGGGGTGCATGTTAGTATTGTTCAACAGACTGATTAATGTTTTGAGTGATAGAATTGAGAATACGATTGAGAGTGATACGATTGAGAATACGACTGAGTGATAGGATTGAGAATACGACTGAGAATACACTTAAATTAGTGGATGGCACCAAGCTGGATGGAGTGGCAGATACTAGGGAGAGCAGGTCTAGGATCCAGAAAGACTGGAGAAATGGTCTGCAGTAAACCAGATGATATTCAGCAAGAACAAGGGCGAAGTCTTGCACTTAGAACAGAATAACTGCATGAATAAACAGAGACAGCAGAATAGTTGGCTAGGTTACTGAAGTGCAGAGAAAAACCTGGGGTTTACAATAGACCATAACCTGAATGAACCAACAATGTGCTCTTGATTCAAAAACATCAATAGCATACAGGGTTGTATTCACAGGAGTGTCACTTGCAAACCAAAGAAAGTCATTCTTCCACTCTATTCAGCACTGGTGATGCTTCACCTGGAGTATTATGTCAAGTTTTGGGCCCCACGCTTCAAGAAGGATGTGACAGATAGGAAAGAGTCCAGTGGATAGCAACAAAAATTATTAGGAGCCTGGAAAGCAAGACTTATGAGGAAAAACTAGAAGAGCTAGGATTCTTTAATCTGGAGGAGAGAAGACTGAGTGCAAATTTGATAACAATCTTCAAATACCTGAAGGATGATTACACAGAAGATGGAGATACAGTTCTCTGTGGTCAAAGACGACAGGACTAGGAGCAGCAGCATGGGAAATAGGGCTGGAGATTAGGAGGATCTTTTTGACTATGAGGGTGGTCAAGCACAGGAACAGGCTACCCAGAGAAACTGTGAAATCCCCATCCTTGGAAATTTTCTAGAGCAAGTTACATAAAAACTTGGCTGGGATGGTTTAGTCAGGGATGACTCTGCCTTGAGCAAGAGGTTGGACTAGATGACCTTATGAGTACGGATCTCCAGAATTCACGCGGGAAATGTGCAGCATGGTGGCTTCTTTAATTTGGGAGTTTCCCCCCCGTGCCTCCCTGCCGCTGATTAGTGGAGAGACCCTATTGCTCGCCACTCGCGCCTGATGTCCAAGAGGCAAAAACCATGATTTTAAATATGCCATGGTTTTCACCTCCTGGCCCTCAGGCATGGGCGGCAAGTGACAGGGCCCTTGCAGTAATCAGTGGCAGCAAGTGTATGAGGGAAACTCCAAGATTAAAGAAGCTGCAGTGCACTTCTGGCATAAATTTCTACTCTTAAGGTCACTTCCATTTTCCTATGATCCTGTAGACAAAAAATGGCAGAGTGAAAGAATTTATGTGAGACCAATATTATTTATATTAATTATTATTCAAATTCACTATTATTTAAATCATAAGTGTTGTATCCTGAGAATACCCTAGACTTGTCATTCCATTTTTCTTGGAATCTGAGCTTTCTATATGCAAGCTTTAGGTTCCTCATGACCAAAGAATATATATCCATGTTCTTTAATACACAGATAAACTGTAACAGGATAAAGATTACTATTGTGGGTTTTTTACTGATAAAATCATTCTGGATAGAGATCGGTGAGGAGCTATAGTTTATGACAGAGGAATTCTGGGTGTGTAGTACAGAGAGTGTTAACCATGATTAGAACCCATCTTAAGGATTTCTGCAGCACACAGCATCACTTCTAGGCAGTCCTCTCCCCCTCTCCTAATACCTCAGTTAACTAATAGAAATAAATGTTTCAAGAACTCCCAGGTTGTTTCTTTTGCCTCCGCTTGTTTTAGAATCATCCATAACCAACTTATATCTTCCCCCTGCCAAACCCCCCTGTCCCGCTATGTTAAATAATTCTGTTCTTATAAAAGAAGAGGTAGGACAAGGAAGATAAATGTAAACTTGTAAAATAAAGATTCCAGAAAGACACAAAACTTAACATGATAATTCATCTTAGTTAAATCTTAGTTGACTAAGTGCATCAGTAAGTTAACTGCAGTATATTTATGAAAAAAAAAGTAAAAGGGAATGATATAGCACTTCTTTAAAATGACATTTTCATTAGTATCACCATTTACACTTTTTCACTATCATTAACCTATGCAGGAACCATTAAATATTAAACATTAAATAAAACCATTATAAAAAGTTTTTTAAAGGAGTTCTACTATCACTGTTCATGTGAGTATGTTCCCTAAAGTTCATAAAGAGCCACCAGTTTAGCTAAACTTCTTTTTCAAAAATTATTATCTTCCTCCTAAAACATGCAGCAGCAACAGTACTTGGGAAGCAGAAAATTCTTTAACGGCTCACCTTCACTTACATCACATCCAACAGACAGGTAGAAGACAGTGCCCATAGACAGGTGTTCATTTCTACTGGTAAGAATTAAAGAAAAATAGTTGAGGAGCTTGGGCCCAGGTCCCTGTTCCCCCAGCTTCCCGTTGCCACCTACATTGCCCAGCTAGGTGGCATGGGCAGCAATTTCAAAGCCAGAGGGACTGGGACCTGGATTCAGAGAGGCTCTCCTCCCATTTCCACCCATGCTTCCCAGCTGGCAATCCCCAGTCTGGGGAAGAAGTGGAGAGCAGCAGGCAGGTGCTCTACTCCTCTCCTAGCCAAGGATGGCAGTGGAGTGGCATATAAACATTCATTCTTGTAAGAATCTCTCTCTCTCTCTCTCTTGCAAGGGAGATCTTCTAAGTGTTTACCTGGAAGATCTTTCTCCTAGAGGGGGCATGTTCTCTCTGAATGGGAGAAACTAAATGAACACTTGTATGGCTCCTCATTTCTACTAGAAGACTGGAGATTCTCCTGGTAGAAACATAATGCCTGTACATGACCAGTGAAAAACAGAATCAGTGTGGTAAGGTAAGCAAAACTATAGATCATCAATAGCAGTGGTCTCAGTCTTGTCTATTCTGTTATTTTTTCAGCCCCCTAAACCATAGTGGTATGTCTGCATTCAGTCAGGGTAGTTTAAACTATATAATCTGCTGGTGGAAGGTATGCTACATGCAACTAAGATATACAGCTTCTGTTTAGCCAAACCACTTCAGGTCAGCCCAATGGTGATGTCTGACTGCTTATAACAGACTATTACATGGTATGCCAATTACACTCAGACACTAGAGAGATGGGTAAGGAAAGAGATTATGCTTGATTGGTACCAAAGGCATGTACCAAGAAAAACGTGTATACTTACATTACAAACAGTAAATTAGAAGAAAATGTACCTGTGCAGATGAAGGATTAAAAGCCACGTTGATGACTGACTCTGTGTGTCCTGTCAATTTATGGGAAAACGTACTTGAATGCATTTCATATATGTAAGCCTAAAAGACAAAGAGTTCAAACTTTCATTTTAGAGGCATCTACAGTACATTGTAAATCACAAACCAGGTAGAAATAAAAAGTCCAGGTAAATTATATTTAAAACTTTTTATTAGCCAGGCAGACAAAGGCCATAAAATATCAAGAATGATTTAGCAAGTGTAACAACCCTTGAAGTGCCCTAATGGGGAAAGAACAATTAACAAAGACTAGCTCTTCCTTTTTCCTGGAAAAAAAAGGTTACATGGATATGTTACAATTACACAAGCAAATATTCCAAAATATGAATTTTCTTAAAATGTGTTCTACAATGATATCCTTCAGAACGTAAATATAATTTTAGGGCAATGAAATTTCAACAACCTACTTCTTTATCTAAAAAGAAGCTGTTATTTGTTTGCCAACCACATTCAGACAACGTCGACTCATCAGTCTGCTCATGTGTTTTTTTTAGCTGCCTAAACAGAAATATTGTCAATAATGTAGATATTCCTAAATATTATTGACAATACAGATGAATTTACAAAGGACATGTTCAGAAACTGCCATGAGTCTGTTTCATGAGAGGGAGGAAAGTGTGGGACAAGAGAATATATGTCAGCCATGTATGACAAAGTAGATATTGTAGAAACACTACTATTATTGTTATTATTGCTGTTGTTGTTATTAATCAAACTTTTATTTGATGAACTGGTGCCAAAGCAGAAATGTACTAAGGGCCCAAACATAACTGAAGTCAATAGTAGGGCTGCCATCAAGCTCAACAGGATTTAGATTGGGCTGTACATTTCCTAACATTAATTCTACTAATCCTAACAAGTAGCAATAAGTTGTAAAAAAACCACTTTGAGTGCAAGACAGTAACATAAGCTTTACAGCGTTCTGGTTTGAAGTCTATGCCTATGAACCATGAACCCAGAGAAGCATTTCAGAGTGTAACCCTACCATTAACTATGCCTACCTAGAAACAGAGCTTTGGGTCCAAATGCACAAAGAAACTAACAAACTTTCAGGTGTCCAGTTACAGAGTGGAATTTGTAAGTGTGAGTCTGGTGCCTAAGTTCCCTATATAGTAAATGGGGAAGTAGGCCACCTAAAAATAAGAGTTACAACAGACAGCACAGAGTGGGGGAATGCTTAAGCCAGACAGTAGGAAACACCTAGAGAGGAGAGGGTTTTTGGACTCCTACCTTTTTCATGTACTTTTGTGACTAACTGCAGTACAGAGATAGGTACCTACAGGAGACTGGGATTCTCAGACTAAAACACCATCCTCAACTTGGCCCCTTAAACTATCCTGTTAGATATAGATGACTGCCTCACTTTTAATACATGGCTAGCGTGGTGCTAATGTACTAGGGCTGTGCAATACTTGGGTCCCTGATTCGATTCAGCAGAAATTCAGCCCGATTCAGTGGCCAAATCTCCGAATCAAATCAGGAGACCCTTTAATCTCTCCAAATTGGAATCAGAACCCTTCTATTCAATTCGGAGAGATTCAACGATTCAGACATAGACACACCTTTAAATGTTTTTTCTACATACCTCAAGGTACCAGGTGGCTCATGAATGCCAAGATGCTGGGGCGGATGGAGCGCACTCGGCAGCAGACCCGGAAGTGGACCAGAAGAACTTCTGGTCCACTTCCAGGTCTGCAGGGAGCACGCCCCCCCCCTCCCCCCCCCGGCTTGGTGACTGGTGCCTCCTGGGTCTGGGACGGCACCCGGGGTCCCCCTGCAGCCAATCACTGAGCCAGGTCAGCGCGTCTCTCCCTCCACCCCCCTCCGCGCTCCTGTGGGATGCTCTATCCACACCACAATCTCAGCATTCACAAGCTGCACCTGGTATCTTGAGGTATGTAGAAAAAATATTTAAAACTGCGTCTATGGCCAAATCACTGATTCACCAAATTAGCATCGAATCTTCAGACTTGGATTCAGCCAAACTGAATCAAGGACAGTGATCCAAATCAACAAATCAAATCACTGTCCCCAATTCAGGCTGAATCCAAATTGAATACAGCCCGTTTTGCACACCCCTATAATGCACCACCTTTCACATAGTCTAGAGATTAGAGAACTTGCCCAAGAATTGGGAATAATGATTCCAGACTCTGCTTCCAGTGCTGTTTGTACATTTTATCCAATGACCTTTAATGTAAAATATATAAGACACCCCTGTAGCAGGGACCAGAACTCAGGGCTCCCCTCATCCTTGCTGAATACCTTTACTATTTGGCTACAATCATGCTCCTCCTTGTTTGCTCTCTTTTTCTGGCCTCCTGGGGTCTGTCAGAACACCTAAGAAGCGGGAGAAGTTGGCTTGAACTTCCTCAGGCTAAGAAAGGCCTATATCTAAGGTATCCCCCTTCTTGATCAAGTACTTTGTCTACTAGACTATTAAAGAAAAAATTGATATTACCTCTTCCTCCAGATGCACTTTCTGAATAAACATGGACAAGGCTATTGTGTTTCATGCTGAATTGAATAGTTTCTCTCCCCACTTGGTATGCTCAGAGAATGCTTACCAGTTCAGGCTCCTCAAATGACTCAAACCAAGGAACACCTAATTTGGGATTCCCAAATGGTTCTATACAATAGAGAGGTACCAGAGACACAGAGCTCAGGCAGCACTTCTCCATATATGCAGCAGAAGAATTTCAAATTCCTATGTACTTTCAGATGTTTAAGCAATCAGGCAAGTATTTTGTGGATCTATTGGACTCAAGTGAAATTTAGATGCTAAGTTGCACTTTAGAAGACTAAGTGTTTTTTAGGATTTGGACCTTAGCTATAATGTGAAGCTATCAAGTTTATTTTCTTTCTAAATATTATATAAATATAAAATAAGAGTTGCAGGTTGACCTCCATGCACATGGCAAATGCTGCCATCAGATAAATTTATAACCTTTCAATTACAAATATATATTACTTTCACATATGGCACACTTTAGTTGTTAACACAAAAAAATCAGATATGCCCAGGTATAGCTCTGCTAGCAGAGAAGGGTTATGCCAACAAGGAGCATTAAAAAGAACAATCATATACATCAGCATAGAAGTGATTATCAACCAGGGTGACAAGGCACCCTGGAGTGTCTTCAGACCCTTTCAAGAGTGCCACAAGGTGCTATACTATGTTAGCACTGTTAAGTGTGCAAATATGAGGATTCACAAGATAAACCTGGAGATATCAAATAGGAATCCATATTATTAAAATGGATTATTAAATTATCATTCTAACTTGTGAACTTCCTGAGTTCTTTACAACAGATGAACAGCTTTATTATTTTTCCATGGTCAAAACACAAGTGAAAACTAAGTAACATTATTTTCCTTAGGGTGCCTTGAGTCTAAAAAGGTTGAGAATCATCGATATAGAACTTGGTCTCCTGTTCATACAGAACTAATAGGATAATAAAATATTTATTTAGCATGGTTTTTCCCAAAAGAAATCACAAATCACTTTACAATGATAACCTGACTTTACACAAGGGAAGCAGAAAGGTTAAAGATCAGAGTTGAGACTGGATCAAGATATTCCCAGTGTGTCTGAGACACCCCTGGTCACAGGCATAGTATACCCTACTCCTATTTTGGAATATGGGCATACTGCAGCTGAAGGTCAAGAGTTTTGGATCCACTCCTGTGAACTGCAGCATAGTGAAAATCCTATGCAGGTCTTAAGAGAATAGGAATAAATCTAAAGAAAGCAGAATCTTATGAAGGTTTTCTGTTTTTAAGTCTCCTATTGAGGGGCTTTTTCCATGGGGAAATTCTGATAAACTGCTATGCAAAAAGATTTGGACATCACACTGCTGCATCAGGCTGAATCTAATATAGGTTCATGGCAACACTCCATCAAAACACACCAACTGCAAAATGACGACTCTATGCTTTATGCTTATACATCCTCAAAACAGTTCTGTTTCAACAAAACATAACACAGATTGGCTGACAGTAAATTAACCTTCCTAAGCTATCAGTTGGTTTCAATAGTAATATGATTTACTGTCTTAGGGTAATATATGCAGTAATTTGTCTGACTCTACTTTTATATCTATAAACAATATCCTCTATCATTCACGCCTGGAGATTACTGGTGGAGTTTGTACTTGAGACAATTATTGTGCTATACGTTTTTTTCTGGTAGGTTTTTAGTTCTTGCTTAAAATTTCAGAGCAGATTTCAAAGCAAGCTGCAATTATTCCAACAGGGAAGCCACTACAGTATGCAGATTTCTACAAACTGTGACCATGTTTCTAGTAGCAAGTATTTTAGTAGATTTATCAGGAACATGATGGTATGTGAATCAATAGTATGCTTTAAGGAAAACATCCCCAAGGAACAGTCAATATTCAGTAATAGATTCTAATTGTTCAGTGAAATGTCAGTCGATTATATTTAAGTTATCTAGTCATAGTCTGAAACCGAAGAATAAAAATCAACTTGGTGTATGATTGAACAGGCACCTTTCACTGAAAGTTATTTTTAACTTTAGTTATTTAAAAAATATTTTAGCTTAAACTACATTCAGGTATTAGAAAGACATGGAGTAAATCCAATGTAAATACATTCCTACTCGGGTTTGCCATCATTCTAGTTTTACTAGATTTTCAAATTTATTCAAACTGTTTTAATACTCTACACTTATTATTAGGCAATTTTAGTGTACTTACTTTAGAAAATCAATAGTAAATGAAGAGTAATTGATACCATAATGCCAATAGCTGTGAAGTGTTAAAAATATGAATTAAACTATAGAAAGGATTTTCTGCAAACCAAAGTAATAAAATAAAAACTGGAGCAGCCAAGGAAGTATTCAAAAATACCCAAGATGCATGTGTGGCTATAATTTGCTATAGACTCTAGCCAAAGTCAATTCCCTTCCTTTATATTATGACCAATTTCTTGCAATAAAAATACTGATTCAGTAGATATTGATATTTCCTTTCCATTTTTAGTCAAGGGTCAGCCAAAAGTAAAAAACATTTACCTGCACC